CAGAGGGGCGGGGGCCGGGCAGGGGGCACTGTACTTACTTAACCATCTAAATAAGCATGCTGCTCCAATTCCCTGCAGCCCTCCCCCTTGTACTGCGCATGTGAACCCAGGCGTCCGGCCCGTCTCTCCGTTGAGGGACAGGTCCCTTCTGCTCCCTTTGGCCCCCCTGCAGGTGCCGCTGGGAACACGACTCTCGTGTCCTGTCCCAGCGTGGCCCGGCGGCCCCGCCCGGTGTTGCCCAGAGGTGGCCGCGTTTTAGCTGCTCCAATTCCCTGCAGCCCTCCCCCTTGTACTGCGCATGTGAACCCAGGCGTCCGGCCCGTCTCTCCGTTGAGGGACAGGTCCCTTCTGCTCCCTTTGGCCCCCCTGCAGGTGCCGCTGGGAACACGACTCTCGTGTCCTGTCCCAGCGTGGCCCGGCGGCCCCGCCCGGTGTTGCCCAGAGGTGGCCGCGTTTTAGCTCTGGCTAAACAGTTTTCCTAACCATTGTCCCTTCCACCCCCGCACAGGGTCTCTGCATTATCATCCTGATCTGCTATGGTGCCTCTTATACCCCGGGTTACACGGGCTTGGCCATCTGCGAGATGGTGCTTTCCATCATCTTCTTCATCGTCTACACACTGGGACTGAACAAGCAGCTGACTTTTGTGCACTGGGGCTGGAGCGTAAGACTGTCTATTCTGTCCCATCCCCGCCAGGCTAGCTGGAGTGACTGGCCAGTTTGCTGTCCAAAATAACCCTGAAAAAGGGGGAGGTGGCTTCCCCAAACGTGTGTTAAAATTTTCACCACGCAAGAAAGTAGCAATACAAAAACCTCCGGTAAAATGCAAGGAAATCCCCATGCATGAAAATGTAAAGACATTCTTGTGCAAAAAAAGCTTTGCTAAAATCCACAGACATAGCCATGCAAGACCACTTGCTTAAAATGCTCAGAAAAAGAACGTAGCTAATTAGCATGAAAACCATTAACTTGCAATAGTGGTTAATTTAGCAGAAATACATGAAGAAATTGCCACAGGAAAAAAGATTAAGCTAAAATCAAACAGACACAGAAATTCTAATGCAATAATTTAAAAAAAAAAAAAAAAAGACCGTTATACTGAGAAAATTCCCTCCCCCCAAACTTTGGTTAATTTCTTAACATCCAAGGGGGGGTTCATAGCAAATTTGTTAAAATGCAAGAAATTCTGATTTAGAAAAAAGGGCCAAGATATTCTTCTGCCGGGAACCAGCTCGTTAATGTATAGTCCCCCTAGACATGCCCGCGGGAAACACTCCATAAAAAGCGAGGACGTATCTATGCAGAAATCGTTATCAGTCTGACAACTTCCTGCGAAGAATTTCATGTATTTACTAAAACACGGAAATTCTTCTGCCTGACCCCTCCCAGTTAAAACGCAAGGGTGTTTCTGAGCCAACCCTTTAACTCGCCCGAGTGCCTCGCACCGAAGAGAGCCGTGGGGCATCGCTCTGTTTCTTACCTCCGGCGTTTTTCTTCCCCAGGATTTCATCCGGGCGGTGATCGGTGCTTTGCTCTTCCTCATCACCTCTCTCATCGTCCTCATCGGCCACAGGGACGGACCTGGCATTGCAGCTGGGGTAAAGCAACCGTGGCGCTCCTGGGAACCAGGGCTGGGCAGCGGAGGGCACCGGGGGCGGGGAGGGGGTCCTGTGCGGCAGGGAGCAAACGCTGTGCCCACCAACCCGTGCTGGCTTCGTCTGGCGTTCATTCCTTGCTGTCAGCCTCCGCCCAGAGGTGGCTGCATCACAGTGTTGGGTGGGGATAGAAATGAGGCCAGAGGGGTAACATTGAGGGGGGTCGTCTGTTCCCCTTGATTCAGGGCCCTTGAACCTCCCTGCTCCCGACTCACAAGCTACCAGCAGAGACCGCAATTAACTCCCGCTCTGTCCCACCCCTTGCAGGTCTTTGGGCTCCTGGCTGGTATCCTGTTTGCATACGATGCCTACATCACACTCCCCACCCTCCGGAAGAGCCACACAGCTGCCCCCACTGGTATGTGCCATTCCCCAGGAGTGGGGGGAGGGGGCGATGCTGCTGGGGGGGAATAGACAAGGGAAGATGGGGTGGTCCCTGACTGACCTCTCTCTCTCTCTCTCTCTGCAGAATCCCCCGAGGGCGTCTGAGGCATCTGTCCAGCCCCCACTTTGCTGCCTCCCCCTAAAACCCCCCCCACTGCTGCGGGGGGAGGCCAAAGAACAGACTCCCATCCCCCCGCAACTCCTCCCCCCTCTAGCTCCCCACCCGGACCCAAGGGCCCCTCCCCTCTCATGTCTAGAGGCCTTGACAATGGGGATCACATGGGGGAAGCCAGCCCCCCCCAACCCAGCAACTCCCCCCTTTCCCTAGGTTGGCTGCAGCAAGGGTGAGGGCAGGGGGGTCTAGTGGTTAGAACAGGTGTAGGCAGGGAGGGGGTTGGGAGCCAGGACTCCTGGGTGCTATTGGCAGCTCAGGGCAGGGAGTGGGGGCTAGCGTGCTCTCTCTCTCCCGCTTGTTCCATATCAAGTGCCTTTACTCGGACCGTGCCTCAGTTTCCCCTGCACTGACGGGGGGTAACGTTGCCAGGTGTTCAGGGCACAAGGACTCACCAGAACCAGAGCCCATGGGATATTGCAAGGGAAATATATTCATATAAGGAGAGGCTTTTTTTAATTGACTAAACTAACTGCAAGGGACAGGCCCAGGGCAGGGGGCTGGGTGGGGAATCGCACCTGCGGAGCGGGGGGACACGTGCATTGATGTTCAGTGACTCCCCTTCCTCCTCCCCCATCCCTGGTCCTGCCTGCAGCTTGAGTCAATTTCTGCTCATGTGTGGGGGAAAGAATTAATAAAAATACTGATTAATGTCTGTGTTGGGTCTCAGTCCTGTGTGTGAGGGGAGGCGGAGGTGAAAAAACTAAAGTGGGGGGGTTCCGAATTGGAGGGGGGAGCCAGAGGATCCAGCCAGTCTGGATCCCACCTGCTCACGCTTTGGTGAAAACACAGGTCACATCTGGCCTTACAAATGATCGTGTGCTCAGTGCCCTCTGCTGCTAGCGAAAGGAAGCGCCCCGTCCGTCCGCTGGAGCTGGGATGCAGCCACTTCTGGGGTACGGCAGCTGGAGAACAGCCACATAGAACACCCTATGGGGACGGTTCGCCCAGTGCTGAGATGCAGCCCCCTGTGGGGTGAGACAGCCGGGGAACAGCCACAGAAAAACGCCGCCCGAGGTCGGCTCAGACTGATCCGGGTCTGAAACGACGCTTTTATTTCAAAAGTTTCTCTTTTGGTTTAAATTAACCGCTCAACAGGAAAGCAAAGGGGGAATTCCAGACACAGAGGGGCTCCAGTACAGGGCCAGCAGAGGGTAAACCCCCATTCTTTGTACCCCTGCCCCACAGTGCAGCCCCCCCTCCCCAGGAGGCCTGGAATTGAACCCGCCCCCCCCAAATATTCTACTATTAAACACTCAAAAAAGTCGGATGTAAAGGGGGAAACACACCCAAAACAAAGCCAAAATCCTGCTGACCCCCTCCTGGGTCAAAGTTCAAAGGTCACAGTGGACAGGTCATAACGTCAATAATTCCACAAGACTAAGATCATGTGGGAGAGGTGAAAGGTCAAAGCACAACATCCAGCAGGTCACGGGTCACAGTGCAAAGGTCTCAGCCAAAAGGCAAAGGTCAGAGGTCAAATATTTCCCCAAGGGTCAGAAGGGGAGGGCCCTCTCAGAAGTTAAAGGTCAAAGTTCCCAGTCATGGGGCACAGTGGAAAGGTCAAAGGCCACAAGGGACAGCGCATCACCAGTAGGTCAAAGGTCACCACCAAGACTCACCAGCCACAGTAGAAAGCCCACTGAGTTCAAAGGTCACCGATGCAACGCTCCTGAGTAGGGGTCAAAGGTCACAGAGGGCAGGTCAGTGCTCAAGGCCAAAGGTCACCAGGCAAGGCCCCACCCGCCAGAGGGCAAAGGTCACCGTGGAGAGGTTAAAACCGAAAGGTCACAGAGCGAACGAGGTCAGAGGTCACAGCAGACAGGTCAATCCCACCCCCCCCAAAGGTGACATGTGCCGAGTTAAGGTCATAGTGGAAAGGTCAGAGTCCAAGCAGTGCTGGCAAAGGTCAGAGGTCACAGAGGCCAATGGAACGGGCACAAAGGTCACAGATCACATGGTGCGGTGCAAGGGTCCAATGGAGAAGTCAATTGCCGAGAGGCCCAGGTGAAAGGTCAGGGGTGACCACTGAAAAGGTCGGAGTCCAAAGGTCATCTACGGCCGTACCAGAGCCAAGGTCAGAGGTCACAGCGGAAAACTCCAAGCCAAAAGGCCATGAGCAAAGGTCAGATGTCACCACGGAGAGGTCAAAGGTCACACGGGAAGGTCAGAGCTCATCAGCTGCGAGCAAAGTCCAAAGGTCACAGGCAGAGGCCCAAGGTTGCAGGCAAAGGTCAAAGTTCAAAGGTCACAAGTGCAGGTCGGAGGCTCACACTGGAGAGGTCGTTGCCAGCAGGCGGGTCAAAGTTCAAAGTTCGACTCAGGCCACCACGCAGCTCCTGTCCCGAGCCCTCCGCTGCCTGTGGTGCCCTCTGGCCCCTCCCCCCAGGGCGGGGCCAGCCTCAGGGGCCGGCGGGGGGGCAGCCCCCCCCCCCCCGGGGGGCGG